TTTTTTCTGGGTTCCATCACACACTGGTTTGGAAGGCAATGAAAAAGCGGATCATTACGCTCGTGAAGCAATAAAAAGTGCATCATCCATAACAGTGAATACAGTGTCTGTGTCGGATTTTAAATCACTCGTAAAAAAGAAAGTGCTAAGTGAATGGGGAAATAAATGGCAACAATCAAAATCATTTCTAAACACTATTAAGCCTACAACATATTCATGGTGTGAAATAAACGTTGACCGCCGGGTATTCGTTAAAATGACTCGACTACGTATAGGACACAGCAGACTAACTCATGGTTATATTATCGCCAAATCAAATCGCCCTATATGTGATCTTTGTAACTCTAATATATCCATACCACATATTTTGGTAGATTGTCCCAAGTTTATTAACGAAAGAAATAAACATTCAATACCTGGAAATATCAAAGATGTTTTAGGAGATAATTGTAATCAGAATAACCTGTTTAATTATCTAAAAGATATTAATATTTTAAACAAATTGTAAATAACTTTAATTTATATTAATATATAAACAGGTTTTACTTTACTTACTAATAACACCATATTGTGAAATTAAGCTTAACTTAAATATTGAACTACAAACCTACCCACTTAATTGTAATCTTGACTGTTTGTAATTTAATTAATTGTAAATTGTATATTATGTCCTCCCGCTAATAACTTTAAGTAGTTGATGCGGTTAATAAAGAAAAAAAAAATTACAAATTTATTTTGAAAATTTTAGTTCTATTCGAAATACGTATCGCGTACTACGTCTATTTTATGGTCACATAATAATCCATCAGAGCAAGTTATTCCATTAACCATGGAACGTTTTTGCACCTCTTTTACTCTAAATGATAATATGCATCCACAGACACGTCGTACAGAAGAAGTTGTTGCTGCTGTAGAGCGTAGCATATAGGTAGACCCGAATCAGTCTATTTGCCATTGTGCACAGCAGTTGAATACGTGTCTATCCACTTTATAAAAGATTTTGCGAAAACATCTTGCTTTGCGTGCTTACAAAATCCAACTCATGCAGGAATTGAAAGTACATCATTACCTAGCAAAGCGTAGATTCGCTGAATGGGTCCAAAACGAGATTGCCGTTGATTCCGGTTTTCATAAGCGAATTTTGTTTAGCGATGAAGCTCCCTTTTGATTGAATGGCTATATCAACAAACAAAAGTGCCCTATTTGGAATTAAGATAATCCTCAAATGTATGTTAAGAAACCATTACATCCAGAAAAAACTTTGGTGTGTTTTATTGTCTGATAAACTCGGTTTCATCGTTCTTGGCGTGTGCCTGAAATAAGCTACTACTGAATTTTTAATATTCGTCTCTCTCTGATACACAGATGCGTAATTCAATTGTGCGAGTCACGTTCGTCATGGTAAAGTGCGATGAGAAGGGAATGAAGAGACCACTCACGTCTCCCAGTATTGTAGCAATAACACCGATACGTTTGGCCGATACGGTGTCGGTGATAAGTTCGGCCTCTTTACCAATACAGATAGCTGCCACTGGAGGAGGTAAACGGATCGAGCTTAGACAAGGAAAGACAGATGAAACAACTTACTGCAAGTGTTTTTACACGCACACGCCAAGAAAGATGAAAACGTCTATAGAATCATTGGATTGTATTTCTTCAAAAACGATGCTGGCCAGAACGTTACAGTCAATGGTGACCGCTATAGAGCCATGATTACTGCCTTTTTCATTCCCAATTTAACAACCATGATGTGCAGGAGCTGTCGTTCCAATAATACGGTGCAGCATGTCACACGGTGCGTGCCATTGATTTATTGAAGGAAACGTTTGGTTACCGCATAGTTTTACGTTTCGGACCGTGAATTGACCTCCAAGAACACTGCTAGACTATTTTATGTGGGCATGTGTGAAGGTGTTAGTCTAACGATTGACCACTTGAAGAACAACATTCGCCGCAGTATTACCGGTATGCAGCGACAAATATTGGAAAAAGTGATCGAAAATTTGACCTCCAGATTAGACTGCGTCAGAGCCAGCAATGACGATTATATGTCAGAAAACATATTTAAATTATAATGCCGAAAGATTATCTGAGACCAGGTAGAAACAATTAGTATCCTTTTTATTTTCTATAGGCAGAGTAGCGCTTGATTTATATCACTTGTTTGAAAATTATTATATTCCATCGCACATTTTTTAATGTTAACATCAATAAAGTGATCTTTCGTCTAAAAGGACGTCGTTAATGAGCCTTCTTTCCGAATTACAGGGAAACAATTTAGTTTGTTTATTTACAAATTCACTAAGTTAATAAATTTATTAACTAAGTTCTTAAATTTATTTCTTCATCAAGTTATTAAACCAATATAAAATTAATTTTTTCGGAAGCTATTTTATATTCGACTGTATTTGACGTTTATTAATGTCAAACAGTTGTTCATATTGACATACATGATGAAGGGAGGAGATTGACATGTCTATACGGTGTCCCCTTTCGAATAAAAAATCAACCGTGTCCCCTTTCGAATAAAAAATCAACCTGTTTGACCATTTTCTGTTGCCAATCTTCCGGTGTTCCTTTTATTTTTTTTTAGTTGTTCACATCTATTTTCTATATCTTCTGCTTTTGTGTCTTGTTTGCAAGTTTGTCTATTAAATTTCTGCCGTCCATATTATAGTATTCGTTGTTTGTTTCTATAGATCTTCGATGTAATTTTTGTGTTAAAATTCCATGTAATGATTTTCATATCGTACAATCATCATCATCATCATTTTGGCTTTACAACCCTGTGTGGGTCCTAGCCTCCCCAAGAATTCTCTTCCAGTCGTCCCTATCCATCGCCTTCCTCCGCCAAGCACGTATTTCCATATTTCTCATATCTTGGTCTATGTTATCTAGGAATCTTGTTCTGGGTCTTCCTCTTCTTCTTTGACCAATAGGTCTATCAAGGAGCGTTTTTCTAGCTGGGTCGGTTTGCTCCATCCGCATTACATGGCCTACCCACCTCAGACGTCCTATCTTAATGTGTTTTACGATATCTGGTTCCTGGTATATTCTATAGAGTTCGAAGTTGTATCGTCTTCTCCAGACACCATTTTCATTTACCGCTCCATAGATTCGCCTCAGTATTTTTCTTTCGAAACATCCTAACATGTTTTCATTGCTTTTTGTTAAAGTCCAGGTTTCTGAACCATATGTTAGGACTGGGCGTATTATTGTTTTGTAGAGTTTTACTTTTGTATTTCTTGATATAGCTGTAGATTTAAAAAGAGATTAAGCCCAAAATAGCATCTATTAGCCGTGCAAATTCTGCGGTTTATTCTGCGGTAATGTCATTTTCAGTATTGACGAGCGTTCCCAGGTATACAAATTCGTTAACTGCTTCGATGACGTCGTTTTCTATAACAAGTGGCCGTCGTATTTGTGGTTGCGGACCTACTTTCATGTATTTCGTTTTATTAATGTTTATTATTAAACCCATTTTTGTAGCCGCTTCCTTTAGTGCTACATACGCCTCTCGTGCTGCGTTTTCCGTTCTCCCAACAATATTGATATCATCAGCATATGCTAGGATTTGCACAGATTTGTTATATATTGAACCGGTAGTTGTGATTTGTGACGTACGTATTACTTTTTCCAGAGCTAGATTGAATAGTATACAGGAGAGTGGGTCTCCCTGACGTAGCCCGTTATTTGTATTAAAAGGTTCAGAGAGTTCCCCCTGGATTCGTACTCTGCATTCAACTTTTTCAAGGGTTAGTTTGGTTAGACTTACCAACTGATTTGGTACTCCCAGGTCTATCATTGCTCTAAACAATTCTCTTCTATTTACAGAGTCGTAGGCTGCCTTGTAGTCTATAAATATGTGGTGCGTGTCTACACCGTATTCCAGTGTTTTCTCTAGAATTTGTCTCAGGGTTGAAATCTGATGAATTGTTGATTTACCACCTCTGAAACCAGCCTGGTATTGTCCTATTATTTGCTCTGCATACGGTGCCATACGATGGCATAGTATATTGGAGAATATTTTATACGCTGCATTTAGGAGCGTAATTCCTCGATAGTTAGAGCATTCAAAGATATCTCCCTTTTTGTGTATGGTGCAAAGTATTCCAATATTCCAATCACTGGGGAGGGACTTCTGTATCCATATTTCTTTTATAAGCTGCTGTAGCGCTATTATGATATCCTGGCCACCTTCTTTATATAATTCCGCTGAAAGATTATCTATTCCGGGTGATTTGTTTCTGGCTAGTTTATTGACAGCGTCTTTAACTTCCAGGATCGTTGTGGATTCTCCTCCCTCTCGTCTGCTCCGCTTACCTCACAGCTTTCGTCTTCCGGATTTTCTTCTTCCTCTATATTAAGTATCTGGTTAAAATATTCCGTCCATCGATTTAGTACGTCTGTTCTTGTTGTTAATAGATCGCCATTCAAACTTCTACATTGATTTGTGTTTGCCTTGAATTCTTTTCTGTTGATGTTAACTTTCTTATAGAATGTTCTGAATTCTTTCTCTCTGTTGAGGTTTTCTATATATTGAAGTTCCTTTTTTAAGTGGTTTCGTTTCTTAATTCTGTGTATTTTCTTTCTTCTTTTCTCTTTGTCTGATAATTCTCTACACTTGTTCTAGTCCGGCGGGTAAGCATTTTTGCATAAGCTTAATTTTTTTCTGTGTTGCGTCTTTGCATTCATCGTCAAACCAGTAATTTTTTCGGGTACAATTTTCTGTTCGTATCGTACAATACTTAATAAAAAAAAAAAAAAAAAATCTAATTTCTCATAGTGCCGACCCTTACTATCCTCAGCCTTATTTTCTATAGATGCCCATTTATAAATGTGATTTTTCATTTACAATCTCCTTGTTACCTCTGTAATGTCTCACAAATTTGATTTTTTTTTAAACTCAACCCAACATTCAAATATATTAAAGCGTTTTAATTTGATCTGATCGGCATTAACAATCTTTTTATCTAATTCGTAAGAAATAAGCTGTGACTATTAAAAAATAAATATATTTACTATACATCTTTTATAATCTCATAAAAAAATAAATAAAAATCACGTAGTAGCTTCAGTCCCCGCCAAGACTTCCATGTCTTCTCGACATTTCGGAATGTAGAGGGAAGCGCAGGTATGTTCCCAGATATCCTGAGGGTACTTATCCTCTACCGTCCATTGACCGGTATCCAGATCATAGTGCTCTATGGCTGCCGTATCTCTGTCGAAGGCATCGTCGCTGCTGAAACCACCTACGAAATAGATTTTTTTCTCCACGCAAACGATACCTGCGTGATACCGGGGAGTAGGAACTGTTGTTATTACCTGAAATAAAAAATAGTACATGAAATCTAAACACTTTGAAATGAGAAGAAAATAGCTGAAAACAGATTGATCTAGTTTGTGTAAAAAACTATTCGTGTTAAATAATATATTAACCAAGACGACGTTCTGATACTAATATTTTTCTTGATATTCACAAAGGGACTAGTAGGATTGCAAGGTACCGGAAATAATAAAATAGATCGTGTAGATTCGTAGATAACAGAGAATACAATGGCAGAAAAACATAAATACTGAAATAACTAATAATAAAATGCCAAATATACCATAATGATGAATGATATACCATAATTATGTAAAGAAATATACCATAATATGGTAAACGTAAATAGCAATAATTGAAAACGTGAATAACCATTGCAGTGATTCTAAGACACGTGCAAAATTGATCGTTCGAATTTAAAATAATTACAACACATTAGAAGTAGATAGAATAGATAGTAATACTATCCATAAAACTATATACATATCCACATTACCTTCCAAAGATCCCGCTCCACATCATAAGCATCAATTGTGTCAACCAAAGTCCTGGATCTTGTTTCGCTATCTTCTGTCCATCCTCCACAAACGTATAAGTAGTTTCCAACATTCAACATAACATGATCTGCTCTTGATTTTAACATTGGTGTGCACATCTGCCATTTCTCTAAATTTACATCATAACAATACATTTGATTGCTCTACAAAATAATAATTGAGTTATAGTCGTAGATGATAAATGTGGTATAAAATGAAATATACTGATGACCAAAAAAATTTAACACCTAGAAGGACAAATATTTTTTTAAATATTTATTTATGGAAGTATACAGTGAAAAGTGTTTTAAGCATCGGCAAAATAACGCAAAAGTTATGTTCTGGCCGCAAACAATTATTGTGTTCAAATACATTTAGAATTACTTTATTTTCAAAAGTACATTGAAAATATACATACTTCAATAAACATTTCTAATAAAGACTGATATAAATGTTAACGTGATTCAAAGCAAAGATATCTGCATAATTTCAAATTTAAATATTTATATTGCAAAAAAATCTCATGTGGGGTTCGAACCCTGAGTGTCCGCGTGAAAATAAGATATTCTCATCACTAAACCACTTGGCTTCGATAGTACTCTATTGAGAAGAGCGACATCTCAAATCACAGTAGAAATTAATCAATAATTTAATTTGGATTAAAAAATTGTTGACTGAAGTCAATTAGCTCATAAGCTAACATCTAACTATCGATAATTTCTCATCTCTACTAGTTTCATCTCTTTTTATTTCACGACCTGTTATGTTTTTTATCTTTTGCGTTATTTTGGCATTTCTTAAGGCACTCATCCATGTATATTATAATATTCTTATTACTTGATAACATTATACACAAATTTGCAACGTCATTTTCGTCAAAAAATTAATGAGTGGTTCCTCTTTGAATTTCTATACACTGTTACTCTATAGGGCATTAATCGAATTAATTGGTGTATATGATATTGCGGAATACTCATCCATATAATTCCCATGGCATGTCACAGGTCTTGTAAGTTTGCTGGAAGACGTGGCAATGGATTTAGGTTTCGACTTACCATATCCCACCCACACATGTTCGATGGATGACAAATCAGTTGATCTTGAGGGCCACTCTAAGCTCTCTATACCAGATTCTTGTATGAACTCCATGGCTTCACGAGCAATATGAGGTCTTGCGTTATGCCTGTTTAGATCGCATTTGGAATGATTTGTAGGTAGTCATGTAAAACCGATTGCAGTACTTCACCAATATATAGCAGAGTTGCCAGAGTGCCGTTAATAAGAACTAGAGGTGATCTGCTTCTCAAACATATAGCACCCCATACCATAATGCTTGGTTGTCTTGCTGTATTACGTTCAACGACCAAGTCTATATTTCTTTTAGTCTATTTCGTCTCTCACCTCGAAAATGTCGCGCCCATCAGAGTCACTTAAACTAAACCTAGATTCATCACTGAAGCAGACAAAATTCCATTGACCATTCCAGTTCTGCGGAGATCTGCATCATTCTAAGTGTCTATCCTTCTGCTATGGTATCATATGTAACACCAAATGTGGACTATAAGCTCTCAGTCCCATTCCACGTAATCTTTGATTAATCGTTCTTCTTGAGACTACTCTTCCTGTAGCTGTAACTAAATATCTCTTACTTGATGTACTTTGTCCCGTCTATTTCTTAAGACAAGAAGTCGAAGATGGCACAAACCACGGTCTTGCAATATTCTAGAACATCTAGACTCTCCACAACGACGATAAGTCTCATCATTGGACAACCTCCTCCAAACTCTTAACACCGTAGATGGATTGGCTTCAACTCTTCGTAAAATTTCCCTTAAACCAAAACCGGACTCTTCCATGCTTACAATGTGTCCTTTTTTGAAGTCGCTTAAATGACCAAATTGCTAACGATTGCGAACTTTTGTCATTTTAAATTTTTCGGGTAAAACAAAAACCATCCAAAATTACTAAAAATTACAAATAAACTAAAGTTACATACACAGAAATAAACTTTCTTATCTTTTTTTTGTTTTTGCAATGATTGTTTTTTGATTTTAATACCTACTACCACTCAATTCTGTAGAGGTCAATTATAAGCTAGTATGGGATTGCGAGTGTCCTAAATAAACTAGGAGACCGTAGCAAGGTTACGGTAGCCTGGGTACCCGGCACGAGGGTCATAAGGGCAATGAAAAAGCAGATGAAATGGCCAAACAAGGCTCATCAATGCCATTTATTGGACCGGAACCCTTCTGCGGCTGTTGCAAAGTCAGTAAGAACGGCCACAAGGAAGTGGGTAGCTCACAAATCTCTGGAATGGTGGAGGAACTCACCAGGACAAAGACAGCGAAACAGTTCATTACAGAACATTAGCGAAAATTTACGGCAGACCTAATAAGCAAAGACAGGAAACAGTCAAAGCCATAGTAGGTCCTCTAACAGGGCACTGTAAGCTAAATGGGCACTTGTAGCTGATGGGATTATCAGATGATGACCTAACAGATTCTGTCACCTCGAAGAAGAAATAGCAGAGCACATTTTATGTCAGTGTGACAATCTGGTAAAAATGCGGTTCTTTGCATTAGAAGAAAATCCACCGGCAAATAGCTATATGGAAGGTACAGTCTCGAAGCTACTAGACTTTATAAAAAGGGTCAGGCTAGCGAATGTTACCGAGGACTAGAGAACCACAATAGATCTGAAAAGGTCGCAGTGGAATAGGCCAAAATGCAACCTTCTTAATCTAATCTAATCGAATCTACTTCAAATAAAAGACCAATTTTCTTCTACTCTTCGAGTTTTGAATCTCAGTTAAATGTTGCAGCATTTTTGAAACTTTATTTGGCAAAATAAGATTTAAGATGCAAAGTCTAAATCAGACCATTAAAGGATTTTTACATTTCGTTTTTTTTCAATTGTACCTATCCGTCTTTTGTCTATAGTGTATATAATCTATTTTCTTATAATTGTTGTGATTTAGTTTTTTCATATTTAGTTGATCTATGTTTCTCTTCATTTTCTTAGTAAATTCAAATGGAGGATTGTTGCTGACTTAAATTTTTATATTTAGTGTCATCAGGGCTTGTAGGGAACATGTTTGAGCACTTAAAATACTACCACCAGACCATCTAGAGCAAATCAATTGTCTCAATCTTTACAGTTCCGACTAGACCACAATGAAATTCCAGTCTTCGGCGCATCAGAGGACTAGCAGGGAAGGCTTATACAAACAGAAAACCACAACCTTCTTTAATGAAATTATTTTAACGTGGGTCGGCCGGATAAGCGCCGATCCGAAACTTGCCACATCTGATGGACCAGGACTCGGTAGGGGACATTTCGTATTCCATGTTCCATAGGCGACATCTTGGATTATCCACTAATCGCGCCCATCTAAAGAAAATCGCGCGTAAATGTTGTTTTCTGTTAGTATATATCAATATTGAAAAGATTTATTAATGTTTTGAGTTTTTTAGATTCACTTCTTTTACAGGAAAACAAATATTCATTTAACGATATCTTTGATATTTTATACATTCAAAATAACAGCATTGACCCATTCCAAGCAGCTCACGCGTCAGCGTATTATTCGGTTGTTTGAGAAGATTTTCAGTGCAGATTATTCCCAGGCGCATTACGGCTTAATTCAGTTCTTCAAATGGGTTCACTCACCATTCACCTATAAGAGATGTACACAAATTTAAATGCTTTTTTTGGAAAACGTGCATTGTCACCAAAAGAATGCCTTGTTTTATAATATAATAAAGTGAAATTGAAATTTTAGAAAACAATTGTTTTTAATGATCAAATGAATTGGTAAATGTAAAATATATCTAACAACCTGTACATTATCCCTGTCAATTCCGCCACTGATAAACAGTTTCACATCGTAACTATTCTCATAACTGGCGCCAGCGTGTTGTGTAACGTAAATCGGCAGGTGTGGAATCATGTACCAAGAATCTAAAAGGGGGTTGTAGCATTCACAGGTACTGACATCTAATTCGTCCGCTTCACTAGCGCCCCCTACGGCATATAGAATTTCACCGACAACATTAAGGCTAAAACGGCATCTTTCGATTTTCATCGGAGCTATCGTGGACCACGTGTTATACCTAAAAAAAAGATTAGAATATTATTATAATACTTCAAAAGCTGTTCATTAGCGGGAGATTTTTTCATAAATATATCCGAAACTAGAAATCATAACTGCGGAATAGAAAGAATAGAAAGTGGTATGAATCAATTTTCAATTTTGATGAGATTGTTTGTTATTATCATATATGGGCGTTAATTTAGATTTTAAGGTTGATCTGCACCCCCCACCCCCCAAGACAAACACCACATTCAAAAAATTTGAGAGGTATATGTGATGTATTTTGACAAATTTTAAGCAAACTTCACGTTTTCGTTTTTGAAAAAACTCAAAAAACTACTTTTTTTCCATGTATAAAGCGGGAAAACCAAACATAGGATTTTTCTTAATTTTTACAGCATGAAGATATAATTATAAGAAATACTTATGAATTTTTTGAAAATTTTTGAATTTACAGTTTTGTCCCAATAAGAAAAAATAATGTTTCAGCTTATAATACAGCTACCGGTAAGAAACCGAAATTTTTTTTAATAGCAACATATATAAAACTGTAAAAGTGGAAAATATTTGCAATAAAAGGTTAAATATTTTTTCCTAAACATACGAAAAACCTCGTTAAACAAGAATTATGTCTTGAACTGCCGCCATCAAATTGTAATGTAGGGAGATGGCTCCATCTGAAGCAATGGTAGTTTTTATCATCTTCTTCTTCTTCAGTGCCTTATCCGGTCCGGATGTTGGCGATCATCAAGGCTATCATGGTTTTGTTGACTGCTGTGCGAAAAAGTTCCGCTGAGGTCATCCCAAACCATTGTCGGAGATTTTTCAACCACGAGATACGACGGCGTCCCGGTCCCCTTCTGCCCTTATTTATCATCGATATATAGATAACATTACGTTCGGCTTCGAAACGCTTCAAACGAAACGCCATACTAATAGGGTTGCCATATCAATTACTTTGTACAAAACTTTGGCAGATTACAACAAAATTTAATAGAAATGTTATCGGTTTGAATTTTGAATGCTGAAACTTACAGAGTTACAGAAAAGTAGATACTGCAACTTTTATTTTGAAAGTACGATATTATAAAATTTACACTCTATAAGTAATATATCTATAAAACAAACCTATTTAATTTTAAAAACCTATTTAGCCGTTTTTAGTTAATTATTTTAGTGTTTATAAACAATACTGTTCCTTGCATAACGTATTAGTGGTAATTTTTATTAGTATTAGCATTAGTTTTAGTGTTTCGGACAATATGCCTTTTAAAAAGAATAGTAGGAGAGGATTACATTTTTTAAACCTTAAGTAAATCTATTATCTTTTGTTTATTCCTTACCGACCCTCTAATACTTGATCTACCACGTAAAACCAAAATCTTGAAAATTAAAAACTTGATATTTTGTATAGTGTTGTATTATTATATATATATATATATATATATATATATATATATATATATATATATATATATATATACAGTGTAGGAAAAATTTTATGGTCGGTATGGACCTTACGTGAGATGGAGTGAGAAACAGCTGTTTAAAAAGAGAGAGGTATATTAGGTACGCCCTTTATATCGCCGAATGGAAATATTAAAAAAGGGGAAATTTAACGTTGCCAAACTTATTGGTTTTATTTGACCTGTTGTCTTTTTTTGCATTTGAACAATGTTCTATCAAGAAGATAAAATGCTCAGATAATCAAATTTGGGCGAAATTGATTTAAATGGCAGGTTACTGTTTTTTTTTATTGGGAATATGCCACAAGTTTTCTTTACAATAATTATAATATAACATTTTGATTTCCATTTCGGAAATCGTTTTATATAAATAAAATTTATTAATGTTTCGTATTTTAAGTACGATTTCCGAACTAAAAATCTAAACATCAAAATAATTTCCCAATATGAAATAATAAACAATTAAACATGCATACAATAACGCCAAATTAAAAAATATTCATACACTAATTTATTTTGGCAACGTCTAGTCTAGATAGTCGTCTGGTCAAAAGATCGAGTAACGAGAAGTAGAGGTGGGTCGTGCTAGTTTATCGTTAAAAGCGTAGGAGCAAAATTTCGGGCCAATGTTTTTTAAATGCATTCATTTTTTTCGAATCCTGAGAAAACTAATAAATATTTTTGAAAAAATTAAACGCAGAATGAAACAATACATTATTACCGAGAGCTGAAAGTCCCTGAAAACTTCTATAATGTTTATTTTAATAAGTTATAGGGATGAAAAAAAAAACAAAATTTAGTGTGATTTTTAATTTCAAATATCTCATTAAAAAAACTTTTTGTTTATTCTAAGGGACCTTCGGCCCTCGGTAATAATGTAATCTTTCATTCTGCATTTAAATTTTTCAAAAATATTTGTTAGTTTTCTCAGGATTCCAAAAAAATTTAAATTTTTTGAATGCTAAAAAGCATTTAAAAATTTTAATTTTCATAAACAAGTAACTATGATTGTTTAAAAGTAGTTTTCAAGTAAGATAGTACCTACATAAACAAACATAACGGCTATTATCGTTTATGTGTATATCTTTTGAAGTGAAAGAAACTACCTAATGATATATTTATTATAACTTGAAAAATAAACTAAACAATCATCATCATCATATAACGGGGGTCCTACGGCGATTGCCGCTTCCCGCATTTCAGCCTCCAATCTTTTCCTATCTCCCCAATCTCCCTCTTCTAAGCCTCTAGATTGCATTGTTTTTGTAATTTCTCTTCTCCAGGAATTTGGTGGTCTTCCCCTTTTCCTTCTTTCTGGCGGAACATACATTAAGGCTTTCTTTGGCCACCGCTCCTCCTCCATTCTCATCACGTGACCCATACCATTGTAATTGCCTTCCTTGTATTCTATCTGAAAGAGTATCTCTAATAGTGATGTAACGAATATTCGCATTTCGCATTCGCGAATATTCGCATATTTTTTGCATATTCGCATTTGCATTCGCATTCGCAAAATTTGTGCGAATGTTTTGCGAATATTACACAGCTTGCATTTAGCTCGTTCAGTATCGAAAAGTGGTGAAAAATAAGTCCATATTTCACTATAATTTGATTTACTCATAGTAATAAATCGCTAATCACACTTTAACTAAAAATTCACTTGTATTTGTGCACGAGCAGAGTAGGGCAAGTGGAGTGACTTGTGTCCCGTGAAATTTTTATTGACCTATAACCAGAGAACTTAGTTCTCTGCTATAACTTTCTCTCTATAACAAGTCAAATTTGATTATAACAAGAGAAAATAAGATCGAAAAACGTGCTTTCTACGTTTTTTGGCCCGACGTGACTATAAATAAATACCTTTTTAAACGACCCCTCAATAAACTTAACCGCCTATAATAAACTTCTTTACAATAAATACAACTGTTTCACATCTTTTACTTTAGCAAATATGATAGAATGATACTGGACAATTTAAAGCAGTTAAAAATGACAGACTTTTTCCAATTGCCTAAGCACCCTCGCGCAAATGAGACTGCCGGCAGTGCCGGAGACAATTAAAATTGCCAAATTAAAAAAAAAACTGAATATTCGCATTCGCATTCGCGAATGTCGGTGGCATATATTCGCATTCGCGAATGTTTAAAAAATGACATTCGTTTACATCACTAATCTCTAATTCCTGTACGGTTTCGTATTTCCTCATTCCTGATTCTTTCCATTCTCGATACTCGAACATGACAAGATAATCCATTTCCACAACGTCTACTTTATCTCGTTCATTCTTTGTCATCGTCCAACATTCGGCACCATATGTGGTAATTGGTTCTACAATTGCTCTGTATACGCGAAGTTTGGTATGCATCTTTATTTTATTAGACCACAGTAATGAATTCAGTATTCGGATGCATTTTTTCCCTTGGGTTATTCGGTTTTGTACATCTATCTTAACTCTGCCATCTGCTGATATGATGCTTCCTAGATATTTATACTGGTTGCAGCCTTTTATGACTGCGTTTTCAAGCCTCAGATCTGTGGTATTTCCTCCAATTTTTAAATATTCTGTTTTTAAATATTCTGTTCTAAACTAAGCAATACAAATAGTAAATCGGACTTACATTTACATTACACGTTATTATTAAATCGCGAATAGTCTAAATTGATATAAAAACATAAGTTTTTCTACTTTACTTCTTGTTAACCCGTATTCTTTTTTATTTAAAATTAAACCAGATTTTGAACATGTGTTCACATTTACAATACTTTATGAATATAGTGGTTAAGTTAGGATATACATGGCGATGGTTTTTCCACCGTTGTAATGGACTCTCGATGCAGGTGTACGTGTAGATGAGTCATCTTCAATTAATTGATCAAAAATACACCATGGACTTAAGTCATATTTATTGGTTTCTTTTTCTTGTACTGGTTGATTTTCAATAGTACAATCTTCTTGTTCGTTAATTATAGAAGTAACCAGCTTCTTAACTTTTTGTTTTGTTCTGCACTTTAAATCGTGAATCCATAAATGTACATAATGACAATGTGCCACTCTGTTCTATCCCTCTAAATCTTTTTGCTAAACCCGATATTAGTAATTGTACTATGTCGGATACTATGATGTAAGTATGCCGTTTGCTAAAATTTTATTGCAAGATTCTTGCAGGCAGCGTACCATAACAATTACTGAACTAGCATTCAAGTATTTTTGGTCACTCATTGTACTTGTTATTTCTTTAAACGGCCGTAACATTTGGGAAAGTTGAGAACAAATAATCCAGTGTTCTTTATTTAGATTAGGTTTAAGTCTAAGTCTGTATTATTTAATACCAATGTGGAACGGGTTGCCTCTTCTAACTCGGTCATTCTTTTTAACATGTAATAGGTGAAGTTCTACCTAGTTTCCACGTCTTGGATTGGCCGTTTGGGAACTGTGTTCTGTTGTAATTAATACTTTAAAAGCCTTTCTGAAGATAAGGTACTTTTTGAAATGTGTTTTACCCTTTTTTACCTGTTAATGCGAAGTAACTCTCAGTTACTCCAGATGTCCAGAGGTCAGTAGTAATACAGATATTTTCTACTTCTTTAACAACTTGCGATCTAATAATTTGCTCACTTTTGACATAACATTCCTGAAGTAATGAACCTGACAAAGTTTTTCTTGTTGGCGGTTTATATCCAGGAATCCACCCTGCAAACTTTTTAAAAGCTGGTTCTTTAACTATGGAAAACGGATGAAACGAAAAGTTTAGTAAATCTTGAAAATCAATCAGTCCAAGAAAAAGAAACTGATAAAGATGACTTAAGTCCATGGTGTATTTTTGATGAATTAATTGGACATGACTCATCTAAACATACACCTGTATCGAGAGGTATAAAAGAAGTCGACATGTAATTGTCTGATGATATATTACCCACAAACAAGTTCGAACGGAGATTGGAACTGTCCATTACCGTGGTGAAAAAACCATCGCCATGTATATCGTAACTTAACCACTATATTCATAAAATGTTGTAGTATTGTAACAAAATCTTTTCCTTGTGAACACATGTTTAACATCTGGTATAATTTTAAATAAAAGAAGAACGCGATTAACAAGAAAAGCGGAAAAACTTATGTTTTTAAATGTCAATTTAGACGATTCGCGATTTAATAATGTGTAATGTAAATGTAACTATTTAAGTACCATTTGTATTATTTAATTTATTTTTCAAGTTACAATAAATATATCCTTCGTTAGGTTCTTTTATTTCAATACTTATACACATAAACGATAATAGCTAATATGTTTGTGTACTCGCTAATTTGAATACTGGTAAACAATCAACTAGTTACAGTTTACGAAAAACGGTTCCGATAAAAATTAAAAAAACGAGAAGACCCACCTCTAGTTTTTTAGGTATATTAGGATCGGAACCAGAGAATATCTGATCGGAACTAATCGTCTCACTAATGGGCAATGGCAAATGAGTGTTAAAAGGATTTTAGGAGGGGAGACGAAGGGGAAATATGATTGTTATCTTTGTCTAATTCGTTGAAAATATGATTTTATATCTGCGTTAGATATCCTGTTAAATTTTACCATACCGACCTTAAAATTTTACCTACACTGTATATATATATAATATATATATATATATATATATATATATATATATATATATATATATGTTGTATATTGGTCAGGCACATAAATTGGAGACTTCAAAGCTCTGGACACATTTCTTTGAATTGTAGAATGAACCGCATCACTCTCATTTTCAGTGTGTCCTTTAATTAGAAATTTGTGAGTAATACTCTTCAGTTTTGGGGATGTATTTACGGCATATTGATACATCGCCCTTTGGAACGCAGTTCAGTCAATTGTAAAATTAAGTACATTTACTTTCGAAATATAATAAACACTATAGACTTCGCCCTGTGGACAAGGCATTACAGCCTGCAAATCATATACTGCAACTATAAATATCTCAGTAACTTTTTGTTTGTCTTTTTATTTTTATGATCTTGAAAGGAATTTCTCTTTCAGGGGTTTTTATGTTTCGCTTGTAAACTTGGTTTATCGTCAGCGTTATTAAAGAATGTACATTATCACAATATCATAATATCACAAGACTACGAAAAATTAGCGATTATTCATGTGCAGCGAATAAAAGACAAAGGATCAATATTGGAAAAAGAGAGAGAGGCTTCGATAAAGATGTAGAAAGATAAAAATGACAATTAGGTATCCAAAGACGTAGAACATTTTAAATAGATTATGTACATAGAAAATTTAAAGCTTTCTATTTACCTAGGAGTATATTTGAATCCAAACGGATGGATATTCTCCTGTAAGCTCTGGTTAAAACATCCTCCAACTATATACAATTCGTTATTGAACACGGCGGTGCCAAAGTTACATTGTTCTACATGAGGTATCGAGGTAAGATGTTTCCACTGCCTCTCCGAACCGAAGCAATAGGTAATCTCGTTCGTGATGCCGCTCATCCCAAAACCACCAATCTTCAGCACAGCCATCTCCATTCCTCGAGAGTTGAGGAGAGACGATATGAAGCGAGATTCTTCGTTTGTAGTTTGTCGATAGACCTCTTGGAGAATGATTTTGTAGAGCTGCCATTCGCATTTTCTATCTTCGAATACTTTGTCGAGAATACTCTCTAATTTTCTTTGGGATATTTCGACGAAGTGAATATATCTAATGATCCTCAAGGCGTAAGTCAACCGAATTGCTAACCTAAAAGATATAAGGATGTACATATTGAAAAAAATCTTGAAATATTTAAATAGATAAAACCCACGTAGATATCATGGAGAACTATAACATATTATACTATATTTTTTTAAATTCACAAATATGTGTAACCATACTCTCAACATTTCTTTTATACAATGTACGTATACCAATTTGTTTTTGTAAAAAATATAATATATTATATCAGTACCGTATTGATATTTACTATATGAGAAAAGCATGCTTAAAATTTAGTTAATAAATAAAATCATACAAAAAAAGAAATAACTGAAATATTCACATAATCATTCCAGTATGATAGGAGTAATAATGCAAGGAGTAAAGTGGTTAGGATATTATAATACTCGAACATTATCTCGCTACGCTAGAAACAGGTTAGCTCACTAAACCTAATGATACAGCAAATTCGTCCTGTCTTTTGATTATCCACAAAATTATTTTTACCTATGTAACTGGTATAAAGGCAGACGTCAGAGTCAATCAAAAGAATAAATTAAGAATCCTCATTCTTAAGACCAACTTAAGACAATCCGGTTCCGAGGCTGTACATTGTTTTTTTGAGCAGTTTTTGTTTTTTACGATTGGTAGGTTGCTAACCTTGCCAATCACCGTCCACAATTTATCCGGGCTTGGGACCGGCTGTGGTAACCGCAGAGCTACTCAATGCATCCCTGAATCACCCCAGGCAGAGACAACGTTGTGGTGTGGCGACGAGAATATATTCAGCAGATAAGGACTTATAAAGAAGACAAGCGCAAAATTTATTATCTGGATGAGACATGGTTAAACGCTGGGCATACAAAATCTAAAAAATCCTTCAAGTAATATATTACATTCTACATTTCAAATCCCAAAACTTACAAATACTTTAAATTTAAAAAAATAAATGACAAAAAAATTTGAACGCATCTGGAGAAATATTAAAAATGATAGTGTAGGAAAAAACACCATCTTATAATTCTCTACTATTACACCTAAATTATAACAGAAATATGGAAGAACTGCATTTTAAATGTTTTATTTTAATTTATTTTATTTTGGAATAATTATCCACCAGATCAGCAGAACACTCCAAACGTGATAATACTTCCGACTTCTCTCATCACCTTAAAGTCAATAAACATTTAAACATTTCAGATAGTGTATCTACACTACTCTTTACTCATAACATTCAAGACAAAAACATACCCCGTTTAGATCTGTATGAAGATCTAGAAATTGTCAGAGACATTAGGACTAGCCCCAATTGCGACAATCGTCACTTCTCTTTCAATCGTGACTTCACTCCCATACACCGACAATTATTTTTTTTAAACCTTATTCCATTCTTCCTCTTACAATTTCATTGTTTTCTCATCACCACTTGACTAGTACTTTACTTTTTCATTTGCATATATCCTTTTTGTTCTTCGCAATAAACATTATTCAACTTATTACAGACATTCAGCCTAACTTCGGTCAATAATTATTCCACCTACAATTATAAATTTTTTCATTTACTTATCTCCTCCTCCAATTGTCTCTGATAGTTCTCAAAGTATCTCTCATCAACATTTTCAGTTTGCTCTATCATAAATTTATGTTCTATAGATATAACCACCCAAATATTCACAATTTTGATTCTTCACTCATATATTACTACAACTCTTAAATGTTATCATCAGCTCATGCATTTTACATATCTTCAAATTATATTTCATAACACAAATAATAGTTTACTTCCATTTTACATATGTTGAGCAACCTCTAATCTATAAAATCCAAAATTTATATATTTTTTAATATTGCACTCGGCACACTTCAAAAATTGTATTAAATATTTTTCTATAGACCAGTAACTCACATGTTCGTAGACACAGTGTATAAACTTGGATCTAGGGATCCCACCTTAAATTTTTACCTTTACCATGCGAGCTGCGCGATGCTCCATTACGCATATTATGATTTTAAAACCCTTCTTGTATTGGATGATATACGTGAAGGATATCCGTGTGCATTTCTCATTTCCAATCGGTCAGATGTTGCTATATTCAATTTTTTTTAATGTATCAAAGAAAAAATATGATATAAAATCCTACCAAAAGTGTTTATGTCAGATATGGCTGAGGCTTATTATAAGGCTTGGTTGGAAGTAATGTACTCTTAAATTTAGGTAAATATAAATTACAATTTCTCAATGATAAATTTTATCAAACAAATATATTAAAATTATTAAATTAAATGGATAATTGTTTTGTGAATTCAAGAAATAATAAATTGACAATTTATTTGAAAACTACTAGATTTAAGCTAGATATTTAATTAACCAATTACAATCTTTTATTTATGTAGTCTTATCGAAATGATGATTAAAATGGTGACTAGCAAATCTCATAAATAAAAAAACTTACTCAAACACTTATTAAACAACTAATTCTTAATTTAAAAGAAAATTCTTTCTTTCCTCTTCCAAAAAGTCTTCTAGTATTTCTTGTTTTCTTTGACAAAAATTGAGTACTTCTACTGTTTTTTTTGTGTTTCTTTACATTTTATTCCCACTACTAAATAGCAAAATCTTTTACAATGAAACTTTATTAAACTTCTTTTTTATGAGCGTAGGTGCAAAATTTCGGTCCAATGCTTTTTAAATGCATTCATTTTTTTCGAATTCTGAGAAAACTAATAAGTATTTTTGAAAAATTTAAACGCATAATGAAAGATTACATTATTATTGAGGGCCGAAAGTCCCTGAAAACTTAAATAATAACTATAATGTTTATTTTAGTAAGTTACAGGGGTGAAAAAGAAGACAAAATTAAGTGTGATTTTTAATTTCAAATATCTCATTCAAAAGAAAGTTTTTATTTATCTAAGGGACTTTCGGCCCTCAGTAATAATGTAAGCTTTTATTCTGCGTATAAATTTTTCAAAACTATTAATTAGTTTTCCCAGGATTCGAAAAAAAAAATGAATGCATTTAACAAGCATTGGCCCTGAAATTTTGCGCCTACGCTAATAATTTAAATATTATGTTTATATGGGATTAAGCCACAATTTATTGGTTTTAATGTAAATCACACTTTAACCAAAGTTTGACGTTTTGAAATCGTTCTCAAAATATTTATAGAAATTTTGAACAACCTAAGAAAACGACCGAGGATGGACCAAGGTTATTTTTATTGGTTTTAATATGATGAGCATTGATCTTCTTTTTTTAATCGATAAAAGAAACAGGTTAGGTTAGGAGAAACAAAAATGTCAAAATCTTAAAATCATCTGCGTAATGGTGTATAGAGCATCTCGCATGGTAAAGGTAAAAATTTACGGTGGGATCCCTAGATCCTTGTCAGTGTATACAGTGTCTATAGGGACCACATTGTGTTGATCAAACATGTACATATTTATTTCTTGTACATATTTCATGTACATATTTCTTTTGTCTAATTCTTGCTAGGGAACAGAGATTAATTCAGACTATGGAGAACCAATTAGGAAAGTCTTTGCGAAATGTTGACTGTAAGTAGACCAATTTCTAGAAATAATTTAAAACAATATAAAAGAAAAAAGCTCCTTAGTACACACCGGCCAAGCTAGAAAAAATTCCTAGATGTTGCCGTGCATTATTTCCATTTTCCAATTTTTACACGCAATGTACAAGATGCACATGACGAAGTTGGGTTTAAGGGAAAAGTGTGCCATCTCAGAAACTGGTGTTTCACAGCCGTTTGTTGGGCGTGTTCGCGGTGAAGCTCTCAATACTGACAATTACGTTGACAGGTGTCTTGCAAAGCGTGTTCAATTTACAAATAATCATCACCCCAAAGATGAAATCATATTTTGGCCCGAGCTAGCGTCATGATATTACGCCAGGAGAAAGACAGATTGGTTAACTGCTCAAAATATAAATTTTTTTCACAAGCGCGACAGCCCTCCAAATGTGCCTCAGGCGAGGACTATAGCAGAGTTTTGGGCTGTTTTATGTCTAATGGTCTATAATAATGGCTGGGAAGTCCAAAATAAAGATCAGTAAGGCGAAGAATTTTGCAAAAATTTCGTGAGATCGACTTAGAAACAGTCCAAAGGCTTATTGCACATGCAAGACCAAATTTACGTGCTATATAAGATCACGGACCTCTTTCTGTTCTATAAAAATACATTATAAACCTTAAATATTTAGACTTATTTTGGTGTAATTAGTTTATAAAATAATCCTAATTTACAATTAGAAAATACATATTTATTTTTTCCGAAAACTTTAGGGACATGCGTTATTTCAAGAATACCACTAACGCCATAAGACTGTCCTTTTGAATTAAAACGTCCTCAGCTTATAGTGCGCCTTAATTTGCAGTGACTATTAATAAATCGCAAAATCAATCATTAGAAGTTTGTGGAATAAACCTTAAAATGCCATGTTTTGTGCATTGACAGTTATACGTTGCGTTTTCGGGAGTCGGCAAACCATCAGAACTATTTGTTTCTTCTCCGGAAGGAAAAATGTACATTACAATACATTAAAATAATTATTAAAATCTTAGACTTTAGTCACTATTGACGGCAAAAAAATATGGCGGTACGAAGTTCGTCGGGTCAGCTAGTTATTTTAATTTAAACTGCGTTTTACGTTTACTACCCCACGTCATTGATTATAAACCACTACCTAGATACCTCACTCTAAGGTAAAAACGAATTCAGTGTTAAACTCCGCCCACTTACACCTCTTTGCCCTTCAACGCCTAAGTACTACCTGACTGTATGGTGGCGACATTCATTGAAATCTTTGTCAATACTGAAAAATAAATTTCAGTTCCCTGGTCCGGCAATTCTCTAGTGCATTAGAGGACGAAATGATGGCATTCAGCATTTTCACAAGTAATTTTAACGTGCTTGTAATCTATATTATGAAATTAAGATTTTACTTCAGAAAAAAACGCTAAAAATTGATTAATGAAAAACTGTAAAGGTTTTCTAAAAATTATTTATTTATCAACACAATACAAAAA